CCCGCTTCTTATCCAGTTCCCCGCTTGTGGCCTGGGAAAGCAGTCAAGGATGGCCCAAAGCCTTGGGACCCTGCACCCGTGTGGGAGACTCAGAAGAAGCTGCTGGTTCCTGGCTCATGGCTTTAGATTAGCTCAGCTCTGGCTGTTGCGACCACTTGGGGAGTGAATCATTGGACGGAAGGTCTACGTCTCTGTCTTTCCTCCTCTCTGTATATCTGACTTTCCAATAAATAAATAAATCTTTAAAAAGAGAGAATAGAGAAAAAAGTAAGCTTAATTCCTTGCATACATTCACATGTGTCAAAATTCCGTTTGCAGTTTTCCTGAATATTGTCAATTTGTAAATCATGAGCAATTGTATCATACGCTCAGAAAGCCTGGATTTTGCATACAATTATATGGAATATTCACTTTAGAAAACAAGATCTTTTTGATACTATTCAGCAAACATTTAATAGGTTAAGTCCTTTTCTAGGTACAAAGGGTGTGTTGTTCATGTGTGCAAGTGTGTGTGCATATGTTTGTGTATGTATATATAAATCAAAATGGGAGCAGTTATGAATGATCAGTGGATAACACATACACAAACAACTATCATAAAAAAGAAATAACAAAAGAGATAAATTGCAATGGGGATCAGGAAGAGTGACGTTATGTAGGTGGGATTTAAAATCTGTCTTAAAGAACGGGTAGGATTTAGAACAAAAGAGGATGACACTGTGAGGAAGAAAACAGACATAAAAGTGAAGGATGTGTTGTTAATAAAGCCACTGTTTTATCAGAACATGAAGTTAAAGAACAATAAAAATGTAAACCAAGGATAGCATTCCAAGTCCTCTACCCTTCATGATAATTTTACGATGGTAATCATCATTATTTTATATGTGAGGAAATTATAGCACAGGGATTTAAATTATTTGGTAAAGATTACACATCTAGCGATCGATGGAGTCAGAATTTAAACCCATGTCATGACTCCAAAGCTTCTTTGTGCTTTTTACCATATAAATAATTGTTAAACAGGGACACAAGAATCATGAGATAACTTTAATCCAGACAGTAAAACTGCACATTGCTGAACCTCAATTCCTACAGTTCTGATTCAGCAGATCCAAGATGAAATTGAGTACCACAAGATCCCCTGAGACAGACCTGGGGACCATATGCAGCTAGTATGTTAAATGGGATCAATGAACTTGAGGGATTGGCATTGTAGCCTAATGCTTGAGACACAGCTTGACACTGGCATCCCATATGGGCACCAGTTTAAGTCCTGGCTTCTGCACTTACAATGCAGCGCCCCAATAGCTTGGGAAAGCAGCAAAAGATGGTCCAAGTGCTTGGGGCCCACGTACACACAGGAAACTCGGTTCAAGTACTGGCTTCTAGATTTGGTCTGGTTTAGCTACAGCTGTTCCAGCCATTTGGGGAATGAATGAGTGGATGGAATACCTTTCAGTGTAATTCTACCTTTCACATAAATGAAATAAATCTTTTACAAAGATAAACTAAAAATTATTAAAGATTATAAGGCCTTTTTACATACTCCGCTGTACTTTAACTTTGCAGCACTCTATAAGCAGCCACAATTCAGTAAGATAATACAACTTGAATTACAGAACTGAGTAAAGGTACAATGACCCCAAATATTAAGCTTATTTTTCACATACCATATGCACAATGCACTCACATGTACACATCATAAAGTATAGTTATTATATAAAAGGCCAATCTGGAGAAATGTCTTTACCTCTATTCTAAATTAAGATATGATTGCAGTAATTCAAGAAATGTACTCAACTATTAGCAGAAAAAATGTTATCAGAATACTATGTAAGATTCCTAATGCATACTTCTCAAACAATTGACTAGGCAGTAACAAAATGTGACCACTTATATAGATGAGGATTATGCATTTGGTTCTTTAAGGAACTTGCGTTTGAATAGTTTTCTAATAGTGGAAATAGTTTTGCTCAAATGTCAAGTGATATAAATCTAGAAAATCAGACTTTTAATAAATAGCAATTTAAATAATAATATAAATATTTTATTAAAAATAAAAGGGGTTGGCATTGTGGCACTGTGGGCTCTTCTACTGCCTACAACATTGGCATCCCATATCAAAACAATGCCAAAGATATGCCAGTTTGAACCTCCTGGTTACTTCATATGCAATCTAGCCTCCTGTTAATGCAGCTACAGAAGGCAGAGGAAGATGACTCAAGTATCTGGGCTCCTTGCCACCTATGTGAGAGACCAGGAGGGGGTTCCTGCCTCCTAATTTCAGCTTGACCCAGCCCCAGCTGCGCCTATTTAGGTAGTGAACCAGTGATGAAAGATTCTCTGTTTCTCTTATTTTCTTTCTTTATTTCAATTAAATAAATAAAGGTTTTAAATAATAACTCTTCAAGTTAAAAAAAAAAGTTAAAATTAGAGGAAGTGATCCCTTTACTTTCATTTTCTTTAGCTAGAACTTCCTTTTTATTTAGGTCAGCAAAAATAACAGAATTGTTGAACTGTTATTCACAGAAAACAATGCCAACATTGTATGAAAAATTTCTTTAAATCCAATGCAGGAAGACAGATTATAAATCTCTCTTCTGTCATTTCCCCAGAGGCATTGTTAGTTTATGTCCTCTGAGAGGCAGATATATTTTTTAAACGCATAAAATTGACTTGGGGAAGTGCCTGTGAGGGTTAAAAGGAAGACAGCCAAAGAAAGTAGGAAGAGCTTTGAAATCATGACGCAAGTCTGATGTTAGTGAAAGAAGTGAAAGGAGAGAGAACACCATAGAAAGAGCCTAAAACTACAGCACAGTTCTAAGAAAGTGGAGTCGTCCAGTCAAAGTTACCTATAAAAGGAGTCCCTGGTTTAACAAGAACTAGCCTCCATTAGGACTCCTATTGTCGCTCACTAGGACAAACCCAGGGAAGTACCGCCTTGGTGCAAAAGCTGAAGGATTCATAAGTATAAGCACTATCTGTAAGATTTAAATTTTCCCCTAGTGTTCAGGGTTGGTAATTCCTGCTAAACTGTGATTTCTTTTCTTGCCTGTCAGTTTCTGGTCCCAGTAAATCCAAAGTGCCCTGGCAGTATCCATTGCTTATAGTCTAGTGAGGTACTCACTCTGTCCTCTGGAATGGCTGCACTCCTTCTGTTGACCTCCAGTCCTGCAGAGCCCAGAGTTGTAGGTTTGAGAAGCACAAAGTCCCCTAGAAAGAATCATTGAAAGTGATGGTATACGGGACCATTTTTAGTTACATCCATAATCGGCAACTGCGTACTTCCTACAGAGGATATAGTACCATGATTTAGCCCAGATCCCTAAGTCATCTACCACAACTGCAACAGCACACATTTCCCATTTCTTATTTATGATCAAAAGATTACAGAAGAGTTCATATATAACCAGTTGAAGGAGGAGAAAAATCCTGGCCTTTTCTCTGAAAAGGATGACACTGTCTCTTTTCAGAATGCTATTTCTGAGCCGAGCTGAGCTGTGCCTTTAGTCAACTATTCTAGCATTCTGTGAAATGAGCCACTTCTATTTCAAGAACAATGAGAGATGGCAATGCTGCCACGGTCATGATCAAAGTCCATTCCTTATTCTCCTTCAGTGTGAAACATGTAACCTATTCCCAAGTTACTGTGTAAGAATCCACACCTGTGAATTAGGTATCTGCAATTCCTCTGATTGTGGTGCTAAACTAGGCATTGAAATGGGAAAGAGTAGTCTATAACTTAGAACAGATGCTTATCCCTAAATGGACAAACTACTATCTTTATCCTTGACTTACCACCAAGTTGTCAGTTGATCTCGTCAAGAACTTGTAGCATAAAAGCATTGGTCTCTGTCACTGAAAGGTCAGGAATTCAGAAGCATTAGAAACTAGAATAGTTAGGGTGAGGATAAGTCCATATTAAAGACCTATGGATGGCTTATTTCTGCCAACATGGCCACTTTGTTCATGTGCCCATCGTGGCAATTCCAGGATGACCAATGACAAAGACTGGCTTTTGTCAATTGATTGTTCACTCTATCTTGTGTTTCTATGAGGCTCTAATCTATGATAAACTCTTCATATTCATCTACATGCCTCTCTTTATTTGTAACCTTAAATCCATTCCTTTCTAGGCTCCTGACCACACACTCAGGCCATTAGCCTTTTCTCAGATCGTATTGACTGGGCTACTTTTCATTCCACAAAAAGCAAATAGTTAGGTGCAGCATCTACAGCTTTATCCATTTGAAAGTTTTGTCCTCTACACTCAGTTCCCAGGTTGTCCTTGAATGTAGTTGTAATGCTACCATGGCCCATTTTCAACTTGTACAGAGCAGACCCTTTCAAAATCAACTTTATGCTTTCTTTCTTCAGTTGGTCATATCATCACTGTACTTCCCCTCCACTTAATAATCACAGGAGCAAGCCGGGGAACAATGCTGTCAAAACTGTTGTGGGAGACATACCAGATGAGATTCTTGGTCATACAGTGTACTGTATCCTGTCCTGACTGGGCTTAATTTTGGATATATAATTCACACATCACAGTAGACTACTTCTAGGTCTAAAGTATGTATGTATAAACTTTGATGATTTCTCATCTCCATCAGAACCCAGTTTATAACACACAATTCTAGTACTGACTGAGTCACAAGAATGTGAACTATTTCTGATATTCTACTCAAAGAGAAGAAATTCATTCACCATGTTGCACCAGATATCATGTGCCTGAAACTTGATCAGTTATCACCCATAATATCCAGCAAAGCAGCTAGGAACTACCCATCACTTAGCAAACATTAAGCATTCCATAAATGAATTAATAAATTGAGTATGAAATTCAAGAGGATGTCAACTAACCTAGAATGATTTAGATGATCTATTTATAGCATTACTGTGAGGAGGTGATCAGTTATTGAATAGTAATTAAATAGAATGATTACAAAGGTGCCTAGCACAGAAGTACTCAATAAATCTTATCAATTTCTTTCTTCCAGGTCACAGAGAATCATCAGAGAAATGTGACGTTAGATTAACTCTTTCACTGGCAACTTAAATGGATTGTGAAAGAATGAAAGACGAGGAATATATTCCATGAGGCTGTGATATCACCAAGGAAAAACTTGAAAGAATAAAAGATTATAAGGTTGGAAAGAAAGAATTACTTATAAAAACAGATGTTCAACCCAACTGAGAAAAAAATCCAGTAATCAGCTGCCAACTAATTAGCTCTAGTATATTTAAGATTATTTCTTGAATCCTAAGCTACTGTTCATACTTTTCATTAATAATAAAGTGAAAACTTGATCTTGAAAGAAAATGAATCAATCAATGCACTTGTACCCACTAACCATTTCACACACACACACAAAAAATGTTTTCCATTATCTAAATGTCTGTTTCCATATAGGAATAAAAAATACATTCACTTTTTTCATCTCTGCTATATGCCAACAGAAGAGCCAATATGGGAAAATAACATGTATAATAACAGGACACACATATCCTTAGTGAGATGGTAACATTTTTTGCATAATATTTGTAAATTGAGGGGACACATTAGACATAGCAATTAAGCTGTTGCTTCGAATGCACACAGCGCATGTCAGATTGCCTAATCAGAAGTCCAGGTTCAGTTCTGATTTCATATTCCCACCAGCACACACTCTTGGAGGCATCAGATTATGGCTCAAGTACAACAGATAATCTGCTGCCTACATAGGGGACCTAGATTGAGTTGCTGTGGCTCATTGTCTTGGAGCAGTATGGCACAGTAAAGAAAATCAGATGAAATGGATAGCTATTCATGCTCCAAATTAGAAGCAGTAAACAACGAACACAAAGTACAGTTTATGATTATGTTCTCAAATTCTATTTTGGAAAAACTGTTTTTTAAAAGATTTATTTTATTTTTATTGGAAAGTGAGATATACAGAGAGGAGGAGAGACAGAGAGGAGGATCATCCAGCGGTTGATTCACTCCCCAACTGGCCACAATGGCCGGAACCGAGCCAATCTGAAGCCAGGTGCTTCTTCCTGGTCTCCCATGTGGGTGCAGCATCCCAAGGCTTTGGGCCGTCCTTGACAGCTTTCCCAGGCCACAAACAGGGAGCTGAATGGGAAGTGGGACTACCAGGATACAAATCCACACCCATATGGGTGTAAGGTGAGGACTTAGTCATTAGGCTGCCATGATGGGCCCTGGAGAATGCTGAAGGACCATACCATTGTAATAATATGAGAGAAAATAGTGTGGCAGGGGGAATAGGGAGAAAGAGGAGCTTGAGGGGGTAATCCCTAAACCTATAAAATCATATCATGGAAAATAAAAATAAAAATTAAAATTATTTAAATATTTTGTAACTTGAGAGAATCTGAAACTGCTATCCTCTAGCATTAACTTGGCAATCAAATGTAAAATGATTTTAACGACTATCATAGAACTGCTAAATCTCTTTAAATTTTCCCAATGATTGTCACAGTGAATACTGTGAAATAATTCCGAAGTCTCTAAGAATTAGGAATCTGTAGTTGTTACTCAAAAAGAACTAGGAGGGTGAGTGTTGGACAAAATCTAAAGCTAGTTTCTTCCATATACAAAAATAAGACACAGCCTCTCTCACTGTCTTCAGTGCCTGCTCTATCAACATGTTGGCTTACAATGAGGACCTAAAAATTTAGGAAATTGCTCTTTTGCTTTATTGCCAGTATTCCTATCATTACAAAGCCTTTCTGAAATCACCAGACTGAATTTATTCTGCCCAGTGAAACAGTTCTTACTAGCATTTCTGACATCCCATTGGTCTGAGACAATTCTGAAACCAAGGATAATTCCCAAGTGTAACCAGTGGAAATTCATTTACTGGGGACTGTAGTCTGTGAGCCAGCGCATGGGTTTCTTTGGAAACAACCCCAAAGCATTGCTGTGGCCTTTTCTATTACCCTTGTAAGTCAAGTCACCTGAGAGGCCAAGAGCTAAACTGAATAACAGTCTGAACCGGGAAGGTTTGAACGAACCAACAGCCTGGATCTGTTTTATGAATAAACATAGGAGTTAAGGCTTGGAACCCTATAAAGTCAATATTAATTATAGAAGAAATCCTATTCATCCTTCTGTTGTAGTTGCTTTTTCAAAAAAAAAAAATTTAAATAGAGCGTCTTGGTATGTCATAATTCTAAAAATAGCATTTAAAACTCTTGCTCTTTGTTTGCTTTCTCTCACAGTGTCTGAAACAAGCGAAAATGAAATCATTACTCCATTACTGTTAGGGAGGGGAATTAAAAATGTTTGCCCAATATTCTTCAAGTATAAAACTTGAAGTCCCACTTATAAACTAGGAAGTATGCATATAGCTTCCAATGCCATCTAGGCACCCTATCATGATTATTAAGATAAAGTAAATGATTGCTACTAAGACCATTCTGCTTCTTTGACATAAATTTCTCTGAATTCGAATTGCCAACACATTACACGTAACAAGGCCTGAGTAATCCAATATTTAAATTTCTAGGGTACTAGGACAATGATTTCCAAGTAGAAGTTGTGACACCCAATTTTATTTGTTCTATTTCACAACTATCCCTCCTGTCATGGTGTCCCCATGCACCCAAAGAAAATTTAATCTATTATATAATTTTTTATTAAAAAAGCATTTAAGTGAATTTAAACTCATCTTACTTTGCCTCAGACCTTTATGTTTATCCATTTGTCTTTTTAATTACCTCTTCTTTGAAGCCTGAGTCATTCTGAAGTTCCAGCTAGAATTAACCTATCATGGTATATTACTGCAGGTCTTCATAAATTTAAGATTCTGATATTTTAAAATATTATTTAACTTTTTTGTTAGTGTTTTTTTAAGTTATTATTTGAGAAGTTGAGCACATATAGATAGGGAAGAACAGAGACACTGTAATAGAGTTCCCATGCACTAATTCACCCCCCACCAGATGCTCACACAGCTGGGACTAAGCCAGCCACACAACTGGGAGTGGGAACACCATCCAGGTCTCCCACATGGGTGCCACAAACCCAATCACTTTAGCCACCATTACTGCCTCTCAGCTTTCTGCATTACCAGGAAGCTAGAGTTAAGAACTGGAGCCAGGAGTTAAACCCGTGTACTCAAGTGTTAGACATCAGTATCTTAACTGCTAGGCTAAATACTCGCCCCACTCTTTATTTTAAATCTTTCTCCATGCTTTAAAACCAGGGGCCATGGCATACTCCTCCCCCACTCTCTTTTTTTCAGTTTCTACTTCACAGAGAGATTCAACTAATATTAGTTTAATAACTTAACAAGTAGGAAATTCTCTTGGAGGCAGAAATATTTCAGGATGCCAAAAATACCAATCAAAGAATCATTATTCTAATAGCTTAAAGATGTACCCATATAATATGTTGTTTTAAAACTCAAATCCAGTGGAAGAATGGATTAAAAAACACTTTATAAACTGAGAAAATCTACATAAATTAAAGCAAATGTCACTGTTGCTTATTACTTAATAGCCTTTAGGGAATAGATCATGAATTCTTCCATCAACCATCCATGAAGACAAGAATGCAGATGGCTCAAGGGGATAAGAGGACCATGAAAGAGTTAGCACATGGAAGCAAGTTGACAAAAGTAGTCCTATAATAGAGTGGAATCGAGTTTTCAAAAACTGTATCATTGAAGATTTCTCTGCACACCCCTCCTAAAACTGTTCTGCACTTCAACTGTTGACATATGCCTTATTAGAATTATAAGCCAGTTTAAACTATCCCAAAATTGCCAAGTTCAGCAAAATTAAGCTTCAACACTATAAAGTGCTGAATGCTAAAATGAAAATAGTCACGAGACAGCTGAATAGTACCCTATAGCCATTTTAAGGTGTATAACAGTCGGTTCTGTGTATAAACCAAAATTGAAATGTCAATGAAGTAGTCAGAGGATATGGTTAAGAACTTGCATTTTTTAACATATTGGTTACTCAATACCATGTCAATTAATTCCATAATGTAAATTGATGTTGATGTTATGTTGTGGCTTTTAATTGATCGGGATGATATTCTGCCAGCTCTGCTTTTAGACCAGAGATGGTCTCCCCTAGAAACCATTGAATTTATCTGGACAATAAGATGCTGGACTCTATGCTTGCAATGAAAGAATCTCAGCTGAACTTGAACTATAATACTGCAACAAGGTGGAGGAATCCACCATGGGGAGAGGGTATGGGGAGGGGTTGGGGGAATCCCAGAGCCTATGAGACAGTGTCACATAATGCAATATAATCAATAAAAAAATAATATAAAAAGAAACTGTATCACACTGATGCCTCTCTCCAATACTCATTTCTATGTCCTGGTTTATAAGTGCTTATTTCTTCAGAAACCTAAGATCTGGATAATTCCATGCAGTACTCTCAAAAATGTGTTTTACCAGGTACAAAACATGCAGGCTTGATTGATCATCAAGAAAACATAAGCCACACTTGAATAAATCTACTGAAAGGCTAAAATAACTGAAGCATTTTGAAGTGACGCTAGGTATTAAGCTTCAGCAATTCTGGAAGACACAGTAAAAATATCAGGGCATTTTGACAAGCTACTGTGGTTCAAGTAAATGTTAGAGACAGCCAAAGTTCACAAATTGTGTCAATGAAGCTGGATTCCATTAGGTAATCAGTAACCAAGGAAATAGTTAATTGAGATACAATCTCAAACTAGAAAAACAGGGTGAATTCAAGAAGTAAGAATAATAACCACATTTCTCGATAGCCACAGGCTATCATATGGCAGGATCTGATGTCTGGAAGGTACAGCAGGCAGATTTCAAAAAAAATGGAAAAGGAAACTGAGCCAAGACCTGAGTATTTTTATAAAAGCTTTCAAATGTGGATCTTTTTGAAAAGTAAATGACATCCTCATAGAAGTGGATTGCCTACAGCAATTACAACATAGTTTCTATGCTACAAGTATATTCTGCCCAACTTACCTGGGTTTTCAAGCACCTGCTGTCAAACTGTGCTGTTCTTTATGCCTTTCCTGTTTCAGTTTTAGAAGAGTCATTAGTCACAATGGCAAGAAATTTTGCCGGCGGAGAGCGAAGATGGCCGACGTAGGAGGAAGGCTGTGAGGGAGCGTCTAGTGAGAGAGGGATAGAACGCTACAGAAGCAGCAAAGAGGAACAGCAGGGAACCGCAGGGAGAGGTCCGTGAAGCTCCCTGGGACAGTGTGGAGCCAAAAAGATCCACACAACTCGGAAGAACAACGAGAACGGAGCAGGGCAAAGTCAGAGA